ACATCTCATTCAGTTATTAGTGGTAACTACGAAGTATATTGCAGTTGCAAGACTGAATAAAAAGAAGGGAATATGGAATAAATTACCTCATCATAAATGTGGCATGAGAGTTGATTATTAATGTAAGGCTTTTTGTGCACCTTTTTACTTCCTTTTTCTATAAATAATAATCTGGCAAGCACTAAGGCATTTTGGAATTTAGATTTTGAGATTTTGATAGATAATGATTAGAGGATTGCAGAGGAATGCTGAGGTGATTTCTATATTAACTGTCTTTGGAATTTAATGTTTAATTTAATTTAATGTTTTGTTTTTCTGTAGTTTGCCCAATTGGTGTCCATCTATAGAACCTTGGGAGCAGAAAAATTTCCTCTGATCGAGCAAATCTTTTATCCAAATCACAAGGAAATGGTAAGAGCAAATCATAAACATAAATTTCCATTCCTTCTGCATTTGAAAGAGGCAGCTGTAATAATCCATGAGTTCATTTTATCTGTGTATTATCCGCTTGTTTTATCTGTAGTGCCACTGATTTTATGAAACAAAGATGTTTACTCATATAAAATACTTGAGTTCCTGACAATGGGGAAAACATTGATTGAAATGAGATATATTCTTTTTTGAAATACATTAATTTTAGGCAGCTCAGATTAAGACACAAACTGTGCTCTATTTTTCTTGTAAATTGCATAATTTGTGTGAAATTTTGACTTTAAAATTGCATTTCATGTATATATTATTAATGAAAGGTTTCTATACTATATTATTTAATTCTGAAAAACTTGAAAATTGTGTAAACAATTTTGACAACATTTGTCTTTCTCGTACCACCATTTCTGTTTCACTTTCAAATATGCCATATATTATTTAATACACTAGTTTAATACTGAAAGGCAAGTATTAGTTGACTGTCTTTCTGTTTCTTCAAACCAAAGCCAAAATAGTGATTTAATGTATTGTTCCTGGAATAATATATGATGATGAAAGTAAAATGTATTCGTTTGATTTGAAAAAATAAACATGTCCAATTTTTATTGATTGTGAGAAAAAGAGAACCCAATGAAAATAAAGTATTGGTATGAAAGTTGAATTAATTAATCATTAATCAAACTGCCACACACAGAAACTCTGTGCTGTGTCAAAAATAATTATCTATAGTGAATGGAGAGAAAACTAATCCCAAAATCTGAGACATGAAAAAAATGAAAGGAAAACTTAAAACTGATCTGTCAATTAAATCTACAAATCTGACAAACTAGGTAGTGGGTGGAGATAGTCAAAGCTTTAGAAAAGCAGTTATTTCTGTAAAAGTGTGTATTCCAATGAAAATCTGAATTAGCTTATTTCTTTCTTTTTCTGTGTACTGCTAGGTAAGGTCAATGTTCTCATTCCTGTATGCAAATTAGAAAAATGAGTGTAATCCTTAACTTTGTGTTCTACCCTTCTGGTTGGGCAGGAAGATATTGTTTTTAATATATGTGTATGTACACAAAGACCCACACACACACTGTGGTCAGTTTGGAACATTTGTTTTTCATGGTCTCATGGGCTTTCTGTTTAGTTGATAACCTTGATCAAGGAACTTTATAATTCTACTTCACTAAGTGTGGCTGTGTGCTTTTCAAGTTTCAAGTGAAAAAGTATGATATAATGTATTTTTGCTTAAAAAAAAAATTGGATTCTGTTTTATCTCATCAGAGGATTGGTAGAAATAAAATCCTTTATCATGCATTCTAGAATATATGGACAGAAAATAGAGCATTATTGGATTCATTTCAACATTTACATTTTTGACCTTTCAATTGTCAGAAAAACAACACAAGATGTGAAAACTTTAATCACATCAAAGCTAATGTACCAGATGAGATGCCTCTGGAAGATAAGTGGTAATAGAGGGAACTATTAAAACACTACACAAAGTAGTTAGCACTTACCTGTAGCAAGAGCCGAATATGACTACCAACACAGGGAGAGAAAGTTGGAAACCTCCCCAGCTTCCTTGCCTACTAAGTCAACTCATACTGAAATCAGTACTCTCATTATGAAAGGTTTCTAACTTTCTCCATTCTTGAAAGTAGACAAAGAGAAGCCACTAAGCTGCTCCTCAATAATTCAGTGGCAGAGATTATTTCTCTGGAGAAGGGGGTCTGATGGCCAAAATTACTGAATAGGCACTCTTCTGGAATATAGGAGGACACAATAGGGACTTTATGTATTGTCATTCATTAATTCATTCAGTTTGTATGTTGCCCACTTAGCATAAAACTGTTGCTAAGTATTAAAACAACTCAACAAAGATTAAAAATGCATCACATAATATAACAGAGAAGCATGCCTCCTGGATGCCATTAGAGGACATTGTTTAATGTCCACAAATAGCCTGGCCATGTGCTGTGAGAACTTTGTAGGTGTCAACCATCACTTCAATGGTGCCTAGAAGCCCACTGGAGCCAGAGCAGCTCACAAAAGAGGAGTGTTGCAGAGTCCTATCAACATATTAATGGTGCTGCACTCTGGACCAGCTGTAGCTACTGAGTAGTCTTCAAAGGCAACTTGCTATATGCAGAGAGCATTGCATTAGTCTAACTGGTTGGTGTCCAAAGTATTAATCTAAAAAATGGGTGCAGTTGGTACAAAAACTCTCCTAGCCACAGCTGCCATCTGCTTTTCAGCAAGGAACTAAGAACCTAGAAAACTCCCAAGCTTTGTACCACTTAATGCTAATCCATCCAGAAACAGTGGTGGAAGGCTCTCAGATACAGGTGGTCCTAAAACCTAAGGCTGCTTGATCTTGCTATTATTTTTGTAGATCCTAAGTCTGTCCTTCACTACCTAGAACTCCACAACCTGCAAATGCTAAGAAAAAACCCCTCATGTTTATTCCAGGTTATAGATACATAACAGTATGCTGACTATATCCAAGCATGGAACTTGATTGGAAAGAGATTGTGGGAGGAAGGGGTTAGTGAACCCTACTCACAGCAACAAGAGGGTCAATCCCTGACATCCCAGACATATAGATATTTGCATGCCCCAACCTTTTTTCCTTCACAATGAAAGGTTTAGGATTATTAAGCCTGTAATTCTGAAATTCAATTCTCTCATGGAAAGCACATGGACACATCTGTATTGTGTTCTTGCCAACAATATGGACACTGGTTTTCCATTGTTTTCTTTCAGGTTGTTTTTATTCACTAGGACTAGTTTATAGTCCTGGGATTTCCTGGTAGTTTCTTATCAAGATAGAAACAAGGTTCAGTTCAGCTTAGCTGTTCAAGGTCACCTAGACGGAATGGGACAACTTGGCACGGCCAACTCACCACAACCTATTTGCTACAGGACAACCCGCCATGGCCAACTCACTGTGGGACAATTCATTGCAGGACAATTCAACAATTCAATTTAAATATTTAAAATAATTAAAAATTATTTTAATTTTTGTCATTCATATTTCATTTTGTCCTTTTGCATCTATTGCATCATTTCTTCAATATTAGTGTAACTCTTTTCCCATGACAAGATGGCCTGTGGCAAGTTGGCTGCACCCAGTTGTCCTAAACCCCATCTCATTTGCTCATCATAGTGGGTATCCTTTGACATGATTTCTTCTTTGGTCCCTTCATCCAGGCCTGCAGCTTGCAACTATGCTATCAAATCAAGGGTTGGGAATTAGATGCTCCTGTAGCACTAACACTAACACTGTAGCACTAACACTAACACTAGGACTTAGACATATATATTGCCCCACAGTGCTCTTAAACCCCCTTTAAGTGGTTTACAAGAGTCAGCATATTGCCCCCAACAATCTAGGTCCTCATTTTACTGACCTCGGAAGGATTGAACTGCTTGCAGTGAGCAGAGTCAGCCTGAAATACTGCATTCTAACAGCTGTGCCACCATGCCTCTTTGGTATATATAATAATAATAATAATAAAAATAATTATTCTGCTTGTTCTGATGTTTACTAACTAAAAAATTAAACAGATTTTGAGTGCAAAAGCAGCTTTAATTGTGTTGGAAAGAAGACTAACTACTGGTTGTGTTTTTAAGATATATCTCATAGTCACACAAGCAAATGAGGCTATAGTTAGTAATTTCTAGTCAACAGCAAAATACCCTATGTCCTAAAAATCACATATACAGCCTCATTATCCATTCTTTTTTTATGGATGGGTGGAAATAAATTAGCTATTATTCTCTATGGTAATTGCTGAAAGATTTTGAGTGGTCCATACATTGCATTAAGGGGAAATTATTTTCATGTTTTAACATTTCACTGTTCAAATTAGAAGTTCCCAACTTTTGTATATCCGTGACAAAGAAACTTGATATATGTGCATTCAGGCTTAAATCCTGGCCATTCAGCAACGATTTGTACTTGCAATGGTGCATGAATTAAAGATTAAAATGGAAAAGATTATATAAAAAAACAAATTATATCATAAGATTAGCATTCTTTTATGAGTACCTTTTCAACATTAAAATTAGAACACAAAGTTCTGGTTAGAAACCTTTACTAATAGCGCATGAAGTGAGATTCCGACCATGCCAGTTCTTCAAGATATTTTTAAATATATTATACTTTGAAAATGAGCCGGTATATGAAATGTCTGGAAGCAGCATATATTTCTTATTCTGATGTTCATATAAAATGGTGTCTGATTGCATTAAACAACAACCTTTTAATTCAAACTTTAACACTAATAAAGGAGAATATTTGTAGCTCAGGGCTGACCGCTCAACTTTAGCACTTTAACATAATAGTGCTGTTAGAAAGGTGGCTCTTAGTGTCTTCTCCTTTTTATTTAGGGCTGTTCATTGATATTTTCTATACATATACAGAGCAACAGAAAAATTATTTTGCTCTAATAACTGCATACTTTTTTCTTGTAGTATAAAAGAAACAAAAAGCCAGCACAAAGGTAGAAAGTTTAATAAGTTCCAAATTTATTTTAAGATCAATTTCACAATCCATTGTCTTTTTGAAACATTATCTTAGATTCCAGTGGAATTTCAGCTTTAATTGTGTTTATAGAATTATTAAACTATTAATAATATTTAAATTTCTTATCTTTCAAAATGAACAAATGTTCTGTCACTGATTTTGATTCAGTCAACATTATACCTTGTATTTTTTTTAATTGGTGTCTTACATAGATCGTGGGTTTGTGCATGTGGTCTTTATCTATTTTTTACTGTATGCATATTTTCAATATGTATTTAGCTAGCATTAACTATATGAAATACCTTGGTAGATATTTATCACAAATAAAAAAGCTTAAAAATGCCCATCCTTCCTTTAAAAAAAGTTAAAAGATTGCAGTTGATTTTGAAATGGTCCAGATATGCTGGAATTGATTCTTGCAAAATATTTTAAATAAGATATAAACCTTCATTTCCCACTTTCCATGGTAGTTTTAAAACATCTCTTTTCACTGTAAGAAATCAACTTATTCATTAAAGCTTTGAAAATTAACAAAAGAAATAAGAAAAGAAACTCAGCTTACTGCTGCCAGCTCTTCTCTGATATTTATGAATTAAAAGTTTAATTGATAATAATTCTGCTTTCAAGATCATTCAAAAAGTCTTCACCTTTTTCAAGTATTAACAAGGAACTAAATAAGGTTTGATATGAACCAGAAAATAATGGCCAATTCCTAATGTATTCATACTGCCTCTAAACTGATGTATACTAATCTGCCTGGAAGGTTCTGAATGCAATTAATGAGTTACAAAAAAATGTTCCTGTGCTAATGCTTCAAAATTTCCAAAATACGCTGTCTAGGAATTAACCAGGTTTCAACACTTTTGTAGTTGAGGGAAAAAGAAAAAAAAACTAGCCTATTCTGCACTGATTATTACTTATCATTTTTGGCCCATGTTTTCTTCCATCACATTCCTTTATTTACTTTTATGTAAGTAGCAAGACTTGGTAACCATTTCAAACTAGAAAATATTCTTTTTTTCACAAAAGTATGTATTTCTATGGTTTGTTTATTGTAGTCATATCTCCCTTCCAGTAGCTCAGGTCCAGTGTCATAATTATTATGTAACAGAATTGCCAGTTTTAATTTACAGTATATCCCAATTGATTGGACTATTTGATTATGATAGTTGTTATAGTTATAAACAAATCTTTCAATAACATGACGAAATACATTGAGCCATAAAAAGTAAAATACAGAAAAATGAAACCAAGCATTTCAGATGACATATACTAAAAGAAAAATTACCATCTGTGATCTTGGAAGGCAAAAGTTTATCTTTAATTTTTTTACAACTGCCTATTATATCTTATTTTTTAATTCTTTCTCTTTTTTTAAAAAATGACTATAGAAATGAGCAAGTCTTTTTTCATTCACAGGTAATGTTTCAGATTAAAACAGTATTATTTTAATCATTTCAAATTTTGCAATGTATTAACAGGAGTAGAAATTACAATTTTAATAAACCTTACTTTCTTTAAAAAAAATAAGCATTCTTTCTTAAAAAACAGGGATGTTTCCATACAAATTTAGTGAAATAACTGTAGAAAACAGCTACTGCCAGGAATGTCTTTTTACATTAATCTGGATGCCAGTTCTATGTATTCTGTGTTTTAATTACATTGCACAGTCTGCTTTTGATTCTAAGCGAGAGACAATTATTAAAAGTTCAAAGGACCATTAAACAGGCAACATGGATAAACATAACTTCTCAGGTTTCCCCCAAAATTTATATTATTTATGGTTCACTGATGGAAGGATCATGATGCCAACTGCAAGCTCCATCACTGTCCTTGAAACAGGCACAATTTTTTGCTTGATGTCCATAGAACGTCTGCTCTTTCAGCCAATCCGTCCATAGGCATACACTGGATATTGTGATGGGACAAGGTTCTACAGGGCAGCCAATAATCTAAGTGCAGAAAATTACATGAGTTCTCCGTTTTTCTACTCTGAAATCATATTTTATAATGTGTAGACATTTACTTATCATTTTTCTGTGTAAAGATGTACCGACAATTCATAAATTATTTCTAAAATTGACATGTGCCTTGAGATGAGACAAGGATAGAACTTTGGAGAATTATAAATACATAATGCATAATGAATTATGTCATATAGAAATCTATATCAATACAAAATATTATTTTAAGGTTTTTTTCCTGAATTAGTTGAACATACAGACTATAGTTTTGTACCAAAGTGCTTTTGTACATCTAAAAGACTGTTATGCATCACCTTGAGGTCTACAGTGTGCACATTAACTGCAGAAAACCATCTTGGAAGTATGCAGTATGCATATTTTGGTGCTAGTCCTTCTTACCTTGATATTAAGGAAAGTAATGATGTTGATGATACAGTTGTACAGTACCAATAGAAGAGTGATCTCTGAGCAAGGTTATTTTTTTTGCAGATATTTCATTACCCAACTCAGACAGTGAACAACAGCCTAATCAAGGAAGTATCAAGAAGAAAAAAACACTTAAACTAACACTGATAGAGTAAGCCACTGTATATAAACAGAGAGCAGAGAGTACACTGAAGAGATTTCCCAGTTGGATTATGAAACATCTGCAAAAAAACAACCAAGTTCAGAACAGCATGGAATGCACAAGTACAGTGGTCTAGTCAGTGAAATGTTTTTTTAAAAAAACAAACAAACAAACAAACAAAAAACCCAGAAATTATTTGGTAGCATATGGGCTAATTAGATTAAGGGTAAGATTAATTCTTAAATGACTAACGTAAACAAATTACCTTAAAACAATAGATATTACTTGAATTGAATTATACTTTCTGTAACCATTTAAATATATCCAGGTAGTGTTACAGGTTAAAGATTTATTTATCCATTCTCCATTGATTAGGGAAGTTTCAAGAGAGATTGAATTCAAGTATGCACAATTGAGGACATACTTTATTAAATATCAGTGCAGGTATATCTGGATCTTAAAAATAAGTTGGTGGTCATGGAAGACATTATGGGCAGAATCTTAAAATATGTATTAATGAACACATGATCCAACAAATCTATTTGAAAAGCTAAGTGGTAACATAAATAGGAACAATAAGTTCTGAATATGATAATTATAAGGTATTAATTTTATACACTTATAACCAGTGATATGCAAAATGTCTAGAGATTGAAAAGTTCTGACTTCAGAACATCCTATTCTATTATTAGAACTTCTTTTCCTGGCAGTTTTGTAAGCTCTGCTAATCTTAATTTTAAGAAAAAGTCATTTTTTGAATCACTTTTGCTACACCTCTGTTGTTAGTGAAGTTTGCAGGAACATCTTATATTGATTTTCTAGTAGTAAATACCTCCTAAAGGGACATACAGTATGGCACAGTTAAGAAAATTGTACCAGCGCTCATGAGATGTATAGAATATATGAAAAATCTAATTTTTATACTTACTTTACAGTCACAGCCCATTTCATAATTCTTATGTAGATTTGTCTTTTGAGCGACGGTAAGTTTATTCCATGGTTTAATAAAACCGCATAAAGAAATAAAAATTCTTCCATCATTCCCCATTTTACCTGAATCAAAGAAAATGTTGAAACAAGGGACTCAGACATTCTCAATGCCAAAGACATAATCCACAGGCACTAAATCAATCAAATTGTCAATAGAATATATAACCTGTTATAGGCCCAGCAATTATGATTTAACTTTATATGTCACCGACACTTACAAATCTTGTCCAACCCCCCCCCCCCCCGGGTTTTAAATTGTTGGGGGAAAGGGGATGTTGAAGGAAAAAATCTTTATCAGGGTCCAGTCCAAACCGGGAATAAACAAAATGGACACTGCTTTAGAAAGAAGATTGCAGTTTATTGACGAGGAGAGCCAGACAGAAAGATGGCTCTGGGAAAAACTGATCACATGTAATAGGGAGTGGTGGGTTATTATACCTTCTTGGACTTTTGTTTGGAGTTATTCCTGTGGCATGAACTTTGATCTGAGTCTGAGTGTGCCTTTCTGGTATTCTGATGGTGGTGGGTTAATCCTGTTATATCCCAAAGGTCATATCCTGCTTCCCTGGGGCTGTGGCTGATAAGTGTTGGATTTTTTTGGTGTGAGGGATTGTTAATTCTAGGGATCTTTATCTTTCTAATCCTAGCTTCCTGACTCCAATCTTTCTGACAAGATTATCACATCTGCATTTCTGCAGAGCTGGTTTCTGGGGCAGAGAGACTTGGGGGAGGGGTTTGGTTTCTGCCTTTAAAATCCTTTGGGAAAATATATTCTGCCTTTTTAATATTTCCCAAAATATTTCTTTCTATGGATTCTTCCCACAGGGAAATAAAAATTATTGATTTATTTTAATTTATTTTAGGAGGTAGATCCAGTTTATTTCTAAATGCTACAGAGAGAGAGAGAGAGAGAGAGAGAGAGGGAGGGAGGGAGGGAGGGAGTGTTTTCTAGAAATGTTTACATTTTTAACAGAAATGTCACTGATGGCTATAAGGCTCAAATGTTGATTTTGTATGAACTTTAACAACTTAATATACTATACCTGAAAGGAGATACTGATTCTTTTTCTTCTTTCTGACTTTTAATTTTACCCCACAGCTTGCCTCTGTCAATGGTGTAAAAACATACTGAACATCTTTCACCTTTTCAAAACCTTTAAACATCTATTAGGAAAAATAAAATTCTATGTAAGCTTGTATAAAACAATTTAACATTATGCTGTGTTATTGTAATAGTAACTTTTGCACTACTTAGCTTCGCACTTTTTCTATTGTGCTTTCTAAATCTCTATACAAGACAACATAGGAATAGTGACTTGTTTGATTGCTTGTTGTTGCCAGGGGGTTATTGTTTTTACAGTGGACACCCATACATGAATTAGATTGGTACTTTAATTGTAATACCATGGACAGTCAAGAAAACAGCAAATGAATAATTGAACAAACCCTCACAAGTTCTCACTCAAAGCACAAACGATAAAGCTGAAGTTACCCTACTATGGACACATTATGTGAAAATCTAGTCTCCTGATCAAGGCTCTAACGCCGGGAAAGATGGAAGGAAAAAAGAAGAGGATAATCAGTAGAAAAGTAGATAGAGTCAGTTATAATGGTCATGGGAAAAGTCTGATTCCTAAGCGAGTCATGCCCAATTTTATGATCTTTTTGCCATAGTCGTTAAGCAATCACCATAGTCATTAAGGGGTCTGACTTTTTCCATTGATTTTGTTTATCAGAAGATAACTAGAAAAGTTGCAAATGTGACCCCTGGACACTGCAACCATTGTAAAATTCCAGTTGCCAAGTACCCAAATTTTGAACACATGACAGTGGAGACTCTGCTAAGATCATTAGTGCAAGGATTAATCATAAGTCACTTTTTTGTCAATGCCATTGTATCTTTGAAAGGTCACTAAATTAATGGTCAGAAGTCAAGGACTACTATGCAAAGCTTACTTTACAATGGTTTTCCCCTTTGTAGAGTAGGAAGAGCTGAATGGTCAGTATAAGGACAGATCTTCATGGAAAAAATCTAAGTGGTCACTAAGAGTCAAGAATGACTTGGTGGTACATAATCAAACAGTAACTGGCCGTGAGAGAAAACTCTACAAAGGAGAAAATCATTGTAAAGGAAGGGTTGCAGTATACTGGGGTCACATTTGCATCTTTCCTAGCCAGCATCTGACCAAGCAAAATCAATGGGAAAAGTCAGACCCCTTAATGACTATGGCGATTCGCTTAACAACTATGGCAAAAAGATCATAAAATTGGGCATGACTCGCTTAGGAACCATATCACTTAGTAATGGAATTTCCATTCTGAGTTGTGCTAATTAGTCAAGGAATACCTGTCACCTCTTGGCGAGATGGGCGATATATAAACTTAAAAAAATAAATAATAATCACTGTCTTGATTTAAATTAATTTTATTATTCAAAATAGTAATTCCCAACTAGGCATGTAAATCATAATACTAAATATTTTCTCACTAGAATCATGCTTATAGGATTATTTAGTTCTCTTAAATTACGAATATATGACATTCATGTTAATTTCTAAAGTTAAAACCAAAGTGGATAGGGTAGGCATGTTCCAGATCCCTGAAACATTGCCATATTGTGGGTCCTTGTAAGTATACCTTTTCCATTACACCCGCTGCCCTATGGAACACTGTCCCTCTGGAGATCCAAGAAGCCCCCTACCCTTTCAGAGGGCACTCAAAACATGGCTCTCCCCCCCCGCCAGGCTGTAAGATAAGGCAAGGTGAAGCTGAGATGAAAGTTGGCCTCCATATCATTGTAGTTCCAGGTTTTCCTGCTTTTTAGTTTTATCATTGTTGGTGGTATGATTCCATAACTGTTTTGTTGATTGTAAGCCGCCCGGGTTTGGTTTTAAGATGGATGATTATGCAAATGTTATAAATAAATATATAAATAAAATCATTTGCAAGCTGTATGGGAAAAGAAAAAATGTCAAATAAAAATGTTTTTAAAAACACAGGGACAAAATCCTTTCTAAAGATAATTAAAATCAGTACTTTGAATTGGGAACCGAAATGAAATGATAGGGCAGGTATTTCAAAACAGATAATTAGTACATACAAATCCATTTTAGGTAAGCTGCTGCTTTCTTTAGTACATTATGTATCTTTATTATATTTATTTAATTTGGAAATAACAAACCATGAATAGAGGTGGCTATGTTTCCATCTTCCAGAAGCAAACATAGACCTCATACTGCCAAACTAATAAAAGAAAGTATGAATTCCAGCTACTACCACCTAGGAATACAACTTGGATAGCCTTGTTGGAGAAAATAATCTTTCTTCCAATAAGGAAACTCTATACAAACANATATATATATATATATATATATATATATATATATATATATATATATATATATATATATATATATATATATATATATATATATATATATATATATATATATATATATATATACGCATGCATTAATCCCATTGGGAGTAAATGGTTATTATAGTGTAAAAATTTAGTATATTTGTTGATGTCATAATCTCTTAGTTCCTACTTGAAATAACATTGATAATTATTTAATTTGTTTTAACATTTCTAGACTGTTGAGAAAGATTGTGCTTTATATAACATCATCTCTACAAAGGACCAAAACTATTTACTATACTATACCCAAGTTCTCATTCTAAAAGGCAGTGCAAAAAAATGTAACAGCCAATATAGTCAATAGTAGGCGAATCAACAGTAGTTACTAAATGGGAGAAAACAGGATCCTTTCTCTAGCAAAGGTGTGCAGAACAGATAGCAATAGCAGACTTATATATCACTTCATAGTGTTTTACAGCCCTCTTTAAGCGATTTACAGAGTCAGCATATTGCCCCCAACAATCTGGATCCTCATTTTACCAACCTCGGAAGGATGGAAGACTGAGACAACCTTGAACTGGTCAGATCAAACTGCTGGCAGTTGGCAGAATTAGCCTGCAATACTGCGTTCTAACCACTGCGCCACCACAGCTCTTGATGATGTCATATAACCTGATCCTACCAATATATTTTTTAAGGTTATTAGTCAATATGTTTTAATTACCTTACAGAGATCATCCTGGTAGGAAATCTGGTAATATGACATGAAATAAAGTTGATATTATTTACAGATCAGAATTATTCCTTTTTTCTCTCTTAACTTTGTTGTGGGATATTAGATCTCTTAAAATATACTATGCTTTTGTTTCTCTTGTGTCTTAAGGATTCTTCATATTTCTGTAACACTGTAGTGTTTCATAGAACACAAATTCTGGTCATACTAGAAAGGCCTATTTGCAAAACTAATGTTTGGAATTATTCAAGTTTTGTTTCTGACACACATATTTGTAATTAAATTTACACTGGTTGTTTTCAAATTCAAAGTCATTTTCCTGACTATGGATGAGATGCTATTTTTCTCCCTTACCTACTGAGTTCTTATGTAACTAAAGGTGTTGAGTCAGAAATGAGTTCCAATCCAGTTGAAGAGGAAACTGAGTTTTCCACTGATTAATTGACAGTCTTTCTGGATCTCTCTTGGCTTGTTTTCCTCTTGACACAGTTAAACATTTTTTGCACATGGGTAACATTTGTTTGCAGCTGCACAGGAGCATTTTGTTCCAATAATTTCTACAGGAGAGCTGTACAGGAGCACCTAATTCCCAATCCTTGATCTGCCAGCATAGCTCCAGAGCTGCAGGTCAGGGACCAAAGTATAAATCATGTCAGAGGATAGCCACTATGGTGAGCAGATGAGATGCTTTCAATTTTTTTTTTTTGAGAGAAGTATTTTTTTTTATGCAAAGCTAAAGAGAGTGGGAAGAGGCACTATTGGCATTATTGTATAATAAGTGAGACAATTCTGCTCACTGACTCCCATTCAGAGCTGCAGATTTTCATTATAAGAACACCAATACTATCTTGTTAACTAAAATAGTGAGAAGAGCCCAGTGCTTTTTTTCTATAAAAAAAAAAAAAAAAGGTGCCAGAACTCACACATGTCATACAACCTGCCTTGCCTACTTTACAAGGTTCCATCCAAAAAAGGTGCCGGAACTCCGTTCTGGGCGTTCTATAAGAAAAAAAAGCCCTGGAAGAGCCTGTTTACTTCCTGCTTTATTTCACTTCTGAAATGGAAGATTTGCATAAGCACTATCCATCTACAGTTGTCTTTACTCCCTATTGAAGCATTGGTTGTAAATGTCAATAGAATGACACAAAGCAAATTTTAATCTCCTAAATGCATGTCTTTTTCTATCATTTATGCCTCAAAACAGAAAAAAGGGTTTTAGATACCTTTATTTGTTTGACTTCATACTTGATGATTTTCAAAGAATACGAATCTTCAACCACTGTTTTACTCTGTATGTTTGCAAGAATCACTGAAATAAAATTAAACATTGTTAATAAAAATTGACTGAAAAAATACCTGTTTCCCCCCCAAAAAAGTCATAGTAATGTGAAAGTAATTATTTATTTTATTAAAATGAGTTACCTCCTGTCTTTCAAGATACAAATTAGCTTATGTGCTATGGTGATAAACAGACATAAATCAAGAATAGTTTTCAAACACTAAAAAGAACTTCTCTCTTTGTCACAGGGCAATTGTATATTAGCCCGCTGAAAGAGGGAAAGAACGAACTGCTATGGCAGGAGACTGTTGATGGTCTGGGCCAGCTCCCTTTCCTCTATTTTCAGGGATTCTTCCTACCAGCTTTGGCTTTCTCAATCTTAGCATCTCTAAAGTGGAATGAATTTCGACTTCCAGAATTCCCAGCATTCTTGGCCGGGGAATTCTGAAAGTTGAAGTCCGCTCATCTTAAAGTTGCCAATATTGAAAAACAGAGTACCAATTTTCCTCAAAGATAGGTTAAGAAAAATGATATAATATGCAGACACAGGGAGTCCTTGACTTACGATCACAATTGTGACCAGAATTTCTGTAGCTAAGCAAGGCAGTTAGCAAATGAGTCATGCCTGATTTCCTGAGCTATAACTGCCATGGTTGTTAAATGAGTCACTGCATTTGTTAAGTGACTCACACAGTTGTTAACTGAGTCCAGCTTGTCCTCTTGATTTTGCTTGTCAGAGGCCAGCTGGGAAACTTACAAATAGCAATCCCATGACCCCAGGATGTGGCAGCTGTCATAAATACATGCCAGTACCCAAAGAACTGGAATTTTTATCACTTTTGACCAAGGGGATGTAGCAGTGCTAGTAGGTGTAAGGACTGGTCGTAGGTCACTTTCTTCAGTGCCTTTGTAACTTTGAACGTTCACTAAATGTTCACTTGAACGTTGTAAGTTGAGGACTACCTCTAAGCGTAAAGTGGCTGAAGTAACAACTATATAACTTTCCTTAATGTCAACTTTTAAAACATAAATATACATTCTTTCACAAATACTATTTGCCTAGTTATAGTTATATTAGTTATACAGATAGTTCTTGACTTACAACAGTTCATTTAGTTCAAACTTATAATTAGCACTGCAAAAAGTGACTTATGACTGTTTTTCACACTTGCAGCAACAGGGATTTTGCGCTCAGTTGTGGTCATCGAGGACTACCTGTACCATACCTTGCCATGCCATACACCATGCCGTACTATTAGTATAACTATATAACTTATATAGCTTATAGTAATATAAGTTATATTACTTATATTAAATGTTATCCCATGTCACAGGATCCTTCAGCATTCAGGCAAGCCTTTTCATCGTATACTAACTGGAACAAATTTTTATATGCACAGATTCAGGTTGCTAATGCCTTAAGAAATATCAAATTGCTAATGGGATGTGCAGTAAGTAAGGAAGTGGGAAGTTAATCTCTCACAAGAATGATTAAATCTTGGAAGATTATTTATTACTCATTCACTTGCCAAGACAGGGAAATATTTGCCAAGACAGGGAAATATATCAATTATTTATTTATTTATTTATTTATTTATTTATTTATTTATTTATTTATTTATTTATTTATTTATTGAATTTATATACCGCCCTATCTCCCTTACGGGACTCAGGGTGGTGAACAGGCGATAATAAAAACCATGATAAATATAGGCAGTTCTAAAATCAAATTAAATAACGGGCCTGTTCTAAAAACACACCCATACAAAAAACCCCGCTAAAACATAATCAAACTACGCCAGGCCGGCCGCACGGAATAGATGGGCCTTCAGGGCTCGGCGAAAAAGGCGCAGGTCCGCAACTGTACGTAGGTCGGGGGGTAGGTCATTCCAGAGGGCAGGAGCTGCCACAGAGAAGGCTCTCCCCCTGTTATCATATCTGTGGTTTATTAGTCATTCAATTTCCAATGCACTTTCTGTTCTTTCTGTTGCAATATGGATGCAAGTCCTTGTTAGATGATGTGTAAATGATGAAACATCTTTTAGGAAAAGTAGCCACTTTTTAAATATCTGAGTTCCTATAACAGCTGATTCAAGTTGTTCCTGCCAACCTTTGTTACCTTGCCTAAGCCCACAGATGGCTGGACATATCCTAGCATTATAACATCACTGTTTCAATTCTTTTTTTTTTTAAAGTCATTTTGAAAATGTTGGCCTAAATATGAAACAGTCTCTTCCAGAGGTGTAGCGTGGGGGGTGCAGGGGGGGCCGGCCGCACCGGGCGCAACATCTGGGGGGGCGCGCTCGCACTCGCAGCTCTCTGCCCCTGCCTGTGCAAATCCGATCCGAGCCGCCGGGTCGCCGCCCACTGTGGAGGGAGGGGGGGCGCAGGGGGGGGCGCAAATTCGCAGGGGGGGCGCAAATTACTTGCCTTGCCCCGGGTGCTGACAACCCACGCTACGCCACTGGTCTCTTCTGATTGTTGCTGGAAGAATTTTGAAGTCTTAATACTTCCCACTTGCTGAAAAAGCCAATTGAAAAAAGCATTTTGAATTTTAGTTTGAAACATTCCATTTTGAAATATTTTGAGTTTGCTATTTTGGCACAACCGTAAGAGATATGCCAAAGATGCTTTTTCACGAGGCAGCTGGACTTTCTTGTTTTTTTTTGAAGACGTTTCGCTGAAGAAGCTTCTTAGATAAGAAGTGAAGCGTCTTCAAAGAAAAATAAGGAGGTCCAGTTGCCTCGTGAAAAAGTATCTTTGGGATACCTATGACCTGAATGACTGAGAATCTCCATAGACATAAGAGATATGCTTCACTGTAAACTGGAGAATCAAGTTTATTTATTCTCAGATCAAAAGTTTTATGATACAGGAAGAGGAATCATGAATGGATTAGGAATTATTAACAAATTAATGGATTGTGCATCAATTAAATTTTCTCTGAAAGTGGTTAGCAAGGGAAATGTGAACTTAGTGCCCTATGAAATGCTTCATTTGCTGCTGTTGAAGTATGGTAAATTTCCTTGACTTCCAGTTCTTCCACACTCTAGAGACCACTGTTTTGCAATGATATGGCGCATAGATGGGTTTTTTTTTTCTTCACTCAAAATCTGCATATAAGCAATCTTATTTTATAACAACTATAGAATATCCATTTGTAAATAGCTTCAGTAGATAGTATTTCATTTTTTTCTTCTCCCATTATTATTTCTCATTCCTTTTTTAAAGAATCCATTGGAGCTGGGCAGCCAATAAATTTAAATAAATAAATACCAAAAAAGGAAAATATTTGTAGCTCAGGATTGAAATAAGGAGTCCTTAGTGCTCAGAGAGCTCAGAGAGCACCAAGAATCCTTCAAGTAAATAAAAGTTAAATGATAGAAAATAATCACAATTCAATGAGTAAATATTCAAGCACTTAGTAGAATTGACTTTTATGAATAATATCCTGAAGTTCTATTTAAATGACAGTGACCATGCAGTTTACTACAAAAAATAAATATATTTAGATGGGAGCAGGATTAATGTATTAAAGACTGTGAATATTCGAGTCTTCCTGCCAATATGTTCTGTCCCAGAATATTTTATTCCTGTCTATTTTATGATGAATATTTTTGCATGTACGATTGCAGTAAAATTTCTGGAGGATGAGAGAGATAAATTATTAAAGATAAACTAATCACTTTTACATGCTTTTGAAATTCATTTTATCCTGGGAACCCAGTGTGGTAGTGTTTAACCTTTTTCTTTTACAGTGCTGATTTTCATTCTTAGATAGGAATCCTAGAGCATTGCAGAGATGTGAACATACAGCTAATCGTGTCTCTAAACCTCTCTGCTAGTCTGTCCAGTAAAAAGCATAGATGACCTCCAAGATCCCTTTCAATTTTTTTATTATTATTATTATTATTATTATTATTATTATTATTATTATTATTATTATTATTCATGACTCACCAATATTAGAATTACAGATTTGTTCCTGTGGATGAGCTGGCATACAGCTGCAAGCTTCAGTCGGATCCCGAATATTGAGGGTTAGAAGGAACAGTGGTGAAAATAGCAAGGTGTTGAATAGAGGATTCATGCTGCTTGAAACACAACTGGAGGACTGGCCAGCTTGAAGAAAATGTTCTTTCGCTGTTCAGTTTCCCTCCCCTAAATTTGCTAATTACGGTCTACTTCCTCTCAGACCAAGCAGCAATTTAATTTCAGCAGACTAAACTTTTTCTGTTGGGGGCAGAAGAGCTCTGACAATCCAGCCTTATCTTAAGTAACTTTTAAGGTTCCTGACATGGGGATTGTTTTTCCTTTGTTTAAGCCAAAAGCATATTATTGGTGAAAACATGAGAAATTTCTTTTATCAGAAGAAACACACACAGTGTTTCAGAACACAAAGTAGATTCTAGTCAGTTTTGGAATATTTAGCAAAATTGCACCTGTGTGGTATAGTCAGTGGTGGGATTCAAATATGTGAACAACCGGTCTCTGTGTGGATGCCGCTTCCGGAAGTCCATTCTGGGCCTGGGCAACAAAAAATTAGCTACCGGTTCTGCCAAAGTGTGAACTGGTTGAATCCCGCCACTGTATACTGTAAATCAGATTTTCCATTTCACATGTTATCTGAGTAAATAATGAGTTAAAACCCTATGTTTTAACACTAAGGTTTACTTTTAGTTCTAGTTTATAATCACTATGCTGATTATACAGACTATATCGTTTGTGAAGGGCGAACACTTCTGGAAAATAAATATAACTTCTTGTCCTGCCCTATGGTTCTTTGGAGATTACATGGCATTTCAAAAAGCTTCTAATGCAACCTTTTTATCTACAGAGAAACAAGATCTTAATAATGAATTATTCATTGATTATGTAACTATTTTAAATCTTTCTTTCTCCTTCTTACTTTCTCTTTCTTTCTTTCTTTTTCTTTCTTTCTTTCTTTCTTTCTTTCTTTTTCTTTCTTTCTTTCTTTCTTTCTTTCTTTCTTTCTTTCTTTCTTTCTTTCTTTCTTTCTTTCTTTCTTTCTTTCTTTTTTCCCCCCAGCTGACATTGCCAACATTTCCTGTTGTTGTGAAAATTGGACATGCTCATTCAGGCATGGGAAAGGTGATCATGCTTTATTTATGTATGTTGGGGAAAGATAATTTATTTTTTAGAAGTTGGTTATGTAAATATTGCTCAGTTCAAACTCTCTAACAAAAAAGATTAAAACTTCAAGCAGTTATTATGGAAATTTTTGAGATACGTACTATGGAGTCTGCCACTTAGCATTTGCTTAATTTAAGGTATATACAGTATGTTAGTCCCTTGAGCACAGGTTTAAAAACTCATAAGACTCAAATCACTTTAAGCTGAAATACACCTTAAAGAGTAAAAATTCTTTGAAGAAAATGCTTTGTTTCAAAAGTAGAAAGATTTCATCTATTGTATATTAGTTCTATAATTTGCCAGATCCCAGCCCATTGATTTTACTTTGGGGAAAACTTATCAAAACTGTTTTTCAGGGTAATTTTATTTATGGAATATCATGAAGTCTTCATTTTTGGTAGAATATTAAATCTGTCTGAAAAATTATATGTGAAAGACTTTTCCAACCTGCTGGTCTCTACATGGGTTGCATTGTATTATCTGTCCCTCAAACAATCAATTCCTATCTATGGATGATTGTAGTACAACAAATGTGGAAGTTGGGGGGGACTAATGCAGAGAGATGATCAACAATCCTCACTATCAAGTCTCAACTATTATTGGTAGTTAAGAATGACTAGTAATGTATTTCTCTGAGAAATCTATTATGCTTAGAAATACCAAGAAATTTAATTCCTGCTTATTCTGCTTTTCTTTTTTGTTTCCATACGCGAAATAACTCTGGATGTTGAAAACAGGTCAAAGTGGACAACCATTATGATTTTCAGGATATAGCTAGTGTGGTAGCACTTACCCAGACCTATGCTACCACTGAACCCTATATAGACTCCAAATATGACATCAGGATCCAAAAGATTGGAAACAACTATAAAGCCTACATGTGAGCAAATAGATTCTGGGATTGTATGATATTGTTGTTCTTCCACATTGAAATTGAATGAACATTATTTACTCTGTTTTGGGAAAGGTAAGTAATCTGTTTTCTTTAGCAGAAAGGACAATCATCAGTTCTAATAATGGATCCAAATTATTCAGAAAAATGAACTGAATCTTTCCTTTTTTCAAACATATATATTAAAATAGAGTGAGAACAAGACACATTCTGAATAAATATGAAAATTATTTAATATCATTTCCTGTATTTTATTTATGTGTTCCATATTCATCAAATTTGTGTTGCAGTTCATTTAAAACAATCCAAATGAACTTCAGTATTATTCAACAGAGAAAACAACATGTCATAAAGTAATTGCAAAAGAACAATTTATTTATTTATTTGATTTGTGTAGATGCCCATCTTAACAAATGACTCTGAATGGCATACATCAGGAAATCAATCAATCAACAATAAAATAAATTGTCTATAAATATAATATAAATCCAAATAAATCATCATATTCTCCAAAGGAGTAGACTGTGGGCATGATAGTTCTCTTTCACTATCTGAAAAGTTGCCATGTAGTGAATGGAACAGAATTGTTCAGTGTTGCTTCAGAAGGCAAGATAAGAAAAAATAAGTATACATTCAAAGAAAATACATTTCTGTTGGCTATCAGGAAAAAAATCCCTGTGTTAACTGCAACAGTAGCATAGACTACCACGAGAGATGGCAGACTTGCCAGGGAAGGTGTTTAAGCAAAAGCTAGATGGCCATCTGTGAGGGATGCGATAGTAAAGTGGTTTTGTACTGTGTGAGTAGTCCATTTCTCTAGTTTTTTATTTCATATTTATACATAGAATGAATCTTGGCACTGTTATTTTTCAAACAGAAATATGAATACATTTAATTTAACTTAAATTTCATTTTTATTTTTAGTACATCTTCTCAAGGGATGGGATATTAAAACCTTTGAGACAAAATCCTTTAGCTTTTACAGTTAAATCGTATTAAATACTTGAGTCATAGCTATACTCAAATCAACATTATTTTGATGTTTAGTCAGGAGCTAAATGTTCCATAATAAAACTTAACCTGCTTTTGTATACTTGTGATTTTAGCACAAAGACCAATTAGTTTAAGAGGTGGCAAGGGAAATATAAGCTACCTTGACAGCTTCAATGCTGTTTTCAAAACCTCTGGTATTGCAATCTTCTGTTGCTTATGTGATAATTAATTTATGTCCAGTTAACTACAGGTAGTTGGGAATTCCCAATTTCAGAGCTGTTGTAATGTTTAAAGATTTATACATGTGGGCATTGCATTATTAGTACATTTCAAAGAAGTGACACAGTGTAAAAAACAAACAACACAAAAGCAGACATTAAACTATCTACTAATTTTTCCCTAAAAATACAGTGCAAGGCACACAGTTTTTACCCATAATACTGGTTAAAGATTCAGATCTCATGGCGTATTGATTAATCATATAGTTTTTATGCAATTATATAATTATTAACACAATTCCAATTATCTGTCATAATCAGATATCTATTTAAGTTGAGCAGGAATGCTTTCTCTTTTAACATGGCTTCACTGAACTTAAATTCTTAAGTTTATCCTTTGTGTTGTTAAAATGACTGCAAGTTGATTCAATGAAGAATCAGTATCTACTTTCTTGATCAAATCAAATTGCATACTTTTGTTTATTCAGGATCTTTTTATTATTTTTTATTTTATATTTCACATTTGTGCTGGGAAGCATTTTTTCCTAATAAATGAACAGTTAATAACAAAATTAAATTGAAAAGACCTGTGTGCTTCTTTAGCATTTCTATTTCTCCATAGGAGAACTTCTATATCTGGAAATTGGAAGACAAACACTGGATCTGCAATGTTAGAACAAATTGCTATGACAGACAGGTAAATAAGTATTTCTGTAAATTGTTTACTCAAGACTTTTTATTTTTATTTTCTCTGTTTTTAGCTTTTTTTTTTTTCATAACTGTCAGTTTCTACTAGAATCAGAACCCATGGAAACTGCAGAGATAGTAGGGCCACTTCAGAAGCACGTACATGCAGAGATTGCCAGGAGCATCTTCTGAAACAACTACTTGAATATGAAATAGTTGTGGCAGCTTTAGCAATTCAGAAACAGCTGTTTTGGGGCTACATGTTTCAAAGCCCCTCTTCTGGAGAAGTTTCATGGCATTAAAATAGATATGATTTATTTTTTTAACTGATACCTTGTTGTTATTTAAAAGAAATTCTCAGTATGCATGCTACCAAATCACTTGGTGTTTTTTTCTACTGAAGCATAAAATTATGCTTAGCCTAATGGGGCCAGAGTATTATGTGAACTGTAAAAACTCAATAAATTCTGTGAAGGAAGGAACCCAAAACAGCATTCAGGCAATTATGAGCCCAATAATACTTCCGCAGTTAGCCATTCTGTGCAGTCCTGCTTAAAAAAGCCTCACCTAATCAATTCTCCAAAAAGAAGAGAATGAAAAAAAGCAATAGCTCATTCCATAGTTTACTATTTTTGCCTGGTTAACTCAGAACACATTTCCCAAATATTTGATTGGTTTTATTTGCCAAACAATAACACTATGACCAGAAGAGTCAAGCTGTTTGAAGACAGTCCTCTTACAAGCTCTTATGTACAGGCATGAATCCAACAGGAAAACAACTCTCAGTACAGTGTCACTTTCCCTGATTCATAAATTCTATTCTGGAGATAGATTCAGATGAATTGAGAACCACAAAGCAAGACGAGGTATGTTCCTCTGGGATCATAATCAGCAAACGTCAGGCTCACTTGGGGAAAATACAGTTTTTAATTTGTGCTGGAACTTTCCATTGCACTTCAACAACTTGTAGGAATGGGAACACAGATCTGCACAGATGAGATACAGATACTGGTTCCATTCCTACAAGTTTTATCCCAAACATCTTTTTATCTGCAGCCATCTTATGATTATTTGGCATCAATTCTTTTCCTCCCCACATTGACTCCATGCCATCCTACAAAGGAGCCCACCACCCTGTTCTTCTCTTAATTCCAAGTCTTACAGGGCACCTTGACTAATTTGGGGTATACTCCATCTATCCTCATCCAGTGCCCACTTTCCATATCATAGGGAAAATGTATCAAAACCTGGAGTCTACCGTATCAAACTCCTCAACCTAGGTTTACATGAAAAAGTATTTTAAAAAATCTGAAATATCATGTCCAGACCATTCACACTTTTATCAGGAATCCTCCAATCCTTAATAGCTGATTGGGAGGTACAGTATATGCAGGACCAGGGCTTTTTTTGTCATAGAACGCCCAGAACGGAGTTCCGGCACCTTTTTGGGATGGAACCTTGTAGGGTAGGCAAGGCGGGTTGTATGACATGTGTGACTTCCGGCACCTTTTTTTTTATTTACAAAAAAAGCACTGTGCAGGACTACATGGAAAACTGATTTATACGGCTGACAAAAGGAATCCTTGATAAAATTCTTTCATTAGTTGAAGTTAATCCATTTGATTATCTCATCCCTTGGATTGTTTTTTTTTAGGCTACAGTGTAAAATATTAAATTCCTCCTTGAGTCTATTTTCTCATTTAAGTAACTACTGAAGATATGAGATTGATTTACACATCTAATTTTGCTTTAGAATATGGGGGGAAAAGACACAACAGTGAATAGTATACACAATAGTGGAAGCTGTTCTTTGTGTATGAAAGAGTGAAAGAGACAAGTCTGTCTTGAGTTCAGTTCAGTTTTCATTGATTTATTGGCAAAGTGGTTTACCATTGCCTTTTTCTAGGAATTCCAAGTTTAGTCTGTGTTCCTATAGCCCCATCTAAGTGCTAACCAGGATCAAATCCTTTTAATGTTTTTGAGATTATCCAAGTGATCAATTTTGGAAAATTCACATTAGGGATATGCATTGTATTGAATCAGATACATAAAGGTTTTTCTGTAGATATGCCTTTCCTTAGCAAATTGTCCAAGGCAAGCCTACTCTGTTCAATATCATTTATCATATGTTTTACAAATATGAACCATAAAACATTCTTAACCCTTTTTTGATTTTATAATGAGGGTTTTTAAAAACCATTTTTATTTTATTTTAGTTTTATTTTTTTTCAGGTTCACAATGAAATACTTAGATTCAATTGCTATACATAGTACTTTACAATAGAAGTGACTGTTAGCTAAAGAAACCCAATCACGTCAGTCAGCACTTTTTACAGATATTGAATTTGACATATATCCCAAAAAGCCTGTTAGAAATGAAGCTGACAAAAAAAATGAAAATATCAATTATACTATCCTCAATGCTTTTCCATAAGATTTTTTTCAATATCTATGGAGGGGGGGCTTCCTCAGAAACGTTCTACTGTAAGGTCATATTGCAGCATAGAGAATGAATATGACACCTTAAGCATTTTTAATTCAGAATAATCATGTATTTGATGACTTTAAGCAAGATTTATGTAAGAGATATATTGTTATGCATCCTTAGCAGATACCTCTGACTATATAAACATACATCAGGATTGTTCCTGATACGTGAGCTTCTATATATTATCTTTGTAGGAACATTTGTATGTAAAGCTAAGAGAATACCATGTATTGATGATATTAAGAGAAGTGTAGTTTAAAAATGAAAAATGCATAATAAGAAACATAGCATAACATACATTTTCCTCAGATCTGATTCACTTATATTAAACCCTCTTGAATATTCTATCGGGAAATCTCTTATGTTCTTTTTAGACTCCCAGGTAGTGTATATTGATGCCTAAAATAGATATATTGTAGCTGCTTTACTGGACCATTTGTATATTATAAAAATATGACAGCTTAGATATATAATATTCCAACTATTGCTCTATGTGATTTTTAAAGAATGAGATACAAAGAAAATATTCTGAATGCAGTCTAAACCCAAGCCATTTAGCTGAATCTCTCTTAGGACAACATTGTCTTTTTAAACTAATGGGAACTTGTCTTCAAATTCCAGATACAAGCTCTGGATTGATAGCTGCTCTGAGATGTTTGGTGGCTTGGATCTATGTGTTGTCAAAGCAATCCATGGGAAGGATGGAAAGGATTATATTTTTGAGGTACAATAAGTGTTATTTTTTAATTATGTATTTATATCTTGGATTTTGAAGTCTCCTGATTCCAAAAGGCTCTGTGCAGCTTGCAATTTTT